TTAGCATGTACAATGTACTTCCTATAATCTAGGTTAGCATGTACTTCCTATAATCTAGGTTAGCATGTACAATGTACTTCCTACAATCTAGGTTAGCATGTACTTCCTACAATCTAGGTTAGCATGTACTGTCGCATACGACTTGTTTACTACTTCCGTGTGACTGAGAATGTTCTAGAACCGTACTGTGTCTGGGTGGAATTTTTAGAAACTGGTTGAATAGGTAATGGAACATTCTAGAAATTTGTAGTACTAGTAAGTTCCAGACTCATTATGTATGCTGATGTAATGGTCTATTTATAGACAGTGTGGGTATATATAGGGGAGTTGTTCAGCACTGAGATTAGATCGGAGATCTCGTTGAATTGTGGTTGAGTTTAAGTATCTAGTTATTGGAGGTTTGGAGTTTTACCGAGTTATTGTACTTGATGTTTGCAGAGTATAATAATACCAGTACCAGTTGAAACCTCATCTGTTGACTCCGTGTTCGTATGTTATCATCGCCGCCAGGGAAGTTTTTATGTTACTGTTGCCATTTTGGTATTTGTACTTCCTATAATCTAGGTTAGCATGTACTTCCTATAATCTAGGTTAGCATGTACAATGTACTTCCTACAATCTAGGTTAGCATGTACTTCCTACAATCTAGGTTAGCATGTACTGTCGCATACGACTTGTTTACTACTTCCGTGTGACTGAGAATGTTCTAGAACCGTACTGTGTCTGGGTGGAATTTTTAGAAACTGGTTGAATAGGTAATGGAACATTCTAGAAATTTGTAGTACTAGTAAGTTCCAGACTCATTATGTATGCTGATGTAATGGTCTATTTATAGACAGTGTGGGTATATATAGGGGAGTTGTTCAGCACTGAGATTAGATCGGAGATCTCGTTGAATTGTGGTGGAGTTTAAGTATCTAGTTATTGGAGGTTTGGAGTTTTACCGAGTTATTGTACTTGATGTTTGCAGAGTATAATAATACCAGTACCAGTTGAAACCTCATCTGTTGACTCCGTGTTCGTATATTATCATCGCCGCCAGGGAAGTCTTTATGTTACTGTTGCCATTTTGGTATTTGAACCATCACACCTGTACTATACCAATTACGGTAATATTACGTTGCGTGTGACATGTACTTCCTACAATCTAGATTAGCATGTACTTCCTATAATCTAGATTAGCATGTACTTCCTATAATCTAGGTTAGCATGTACTTCCTATAATCTAGGTTAGCATGTACAATGTACTTCCTACAATCTAGATTAGCATGTACTTCCTATAATCTAGATTAGCATGTACTTCCTATAATCTAGGTTAGCATGTACTTCCTATAATCTAGGTTAGCATGTACAATGTACTTCCTACAATCTAGATTAGCATGTCCCAGAAGCAGAGTACATGTATAATATAATTGAAATGTATTTTATTCCAAGATCATAAAAGATAATGTTCAGCAATAAAAAAACATCTAATCTACAATGTTGTAGATCCAACATAGATTCGACTATTTTTAAACCTGCATTAACACAGTTGAGTTTGCTATAAACCACCATCAGTTTGAAACACATCACTTACTGTATTCAGTTTGTTATTCTTGTGCTTTGAATTAACATTTTTAATGTCGTTCACGATATGGTTGTACAATGTCTTCCGCAATATCTTATCCTGACATCGGAATAGTTCAAAGAACAGTTCTAATAAACTTGTTGGCGAAATGAGATCTTTATTTCGTAGTAGAATCAGCGCCCTGCAGAATGTCTGAAAACATATAGAAGAGTGCAATTTTACATTGAGTAGAGTGAATATTTCATTTTGGAGGAGGACAAAGCACCCTGAAAGACTGTAACTTCTCACCTACTTCCAATTCATTATTGTTGTTGCAAAAGTGGATTATCATTTTTAAAATTCATGCCAGACAAGACTGAAAGCAATTTAAGCATCACTGGTTAAAGTTCAAGCATCACAGGCAGATGGCAAAAGTCACAAACAAGTGTCCAAATACCAAGTGATTGTTTTAATATTCATTTCTTGTATTCTGATTATATGAAGGAATACGTATGGGTATTCTGCAGTTTGTTTTGTGTCTACTCATTCCTTCCTGGAAAACTCATTGTTATTCATAACATTTAATTGATATTTGAGTGCAATTTAATTCCCTGCAAAATCACCTCCTGAGAATAACAACAAAAATAAGATCCTTCCGATAGTAAAATATTTCACAGTACTAGCTAATATGGACATCTCATTTACATAACAAACACTCATTGCATAACTCATATTTCACTAGGCTTAGGTCAGTCCTTTATTATCCCTTGTTTCGCGAACCCGTTGAATGAACAAGAGCCGAAAATGAAATAAAAATAAAATTTCTCGCACCCGCCGACTTGTAAGTGCAAAAAATTGCTAAAAAAAAACTTATTTTTATCTTCATTTTTTTTACACCCGCCGCATAACAAACCCAAGTTCCATTTTCGTAGGAGTATCATGATCAAAGTGCCGAAGTCTCGCGCAGATGAGAAACAATGTTATACATAAAATAAAATTTTATTTCATTTCTTCTCTCCGATCAATGATCTCACTTACAATTCTTTGAGAATCACGCAAATCTAATGGAAAAAAAGAATTAATTGTATTTTTTTTCCCACCCTCCTCAAAAAATGTGCCTTATAAAAACTTGAGAAACAAGAAATAAAAAAAGTCTGGCCTTAGTAAAGTAATGTAAATCACTTCAGTTTGGTAACAGTCAATATTTTACAAAGCCACAGGAGCAAATTCTTGTCTTCAGCAATACCATCAACTCACCAAAATTGTCAGCAGTGCAAATTAAATGTTTTACAGTAACAATTGCAGTACATTCAGGTGAAACATGACATAGTATTTATAGAGTTCTAAATCAATTTCAGAATACAAGTGTAAAAGTCATACCATACGCAGCTCTGCATCCAACACTGTGTAATGTCTTTGGAGAAGCTCCTTCAAGTCTTGAGGATAAGTAGATAGATGCTCTGGATAACAATGGGAAACCTAGAAAAACAAATACAACAAAAAAGATTATTTATGGGTAGGCTTTAGAAGATAAAAATAGGAAACCTAGAGGTAAAGACAATAATACAGATTATTTATTGTTTGCCTTGATATGCATGTACACAAGAAAAGCAAATGCATTTAATACAAAGTGATTTATTTCTATGTAATAATTGTTTAATATAGGAAAACTTAAAGACCATTCATTGTTGAATAGTTTCTTTTACTTGATGTCTGCAAAGGAATGCAATATGGCTTTCAGGTGACAATTGAGTTTTCCGTTAAGATATACATTGTCATTATCTTAGAATTTGGTAACAGGTGAGGCTATAAATTGAAAAATGTAGGTAGCAACCAACAGAACTTTGCACAAAACATTTATCTAAATGTATAAACTTTAAAAATAAGCAGTGTATCTTAAGAATTTCACTTTGGTACAAAAATTGTGAATTTTTTTCATTTTTATTTAATGTACATGTAACATGAAAAATAGCAAATGGTTTTGTACTTACTTGACTGAGAAATAAAGTTAAATCTGCCAGATTCTTATAGTAAACTGATGGCTTATGTATGAATATCTGTAGGTTAGACTGGTAGTGTCTGTACTGCTGAAGAAACTGTAACCAGAACATTCAATTAAACAAAAATCATGACTTGTAACACTGTTTTGAAAACTACCTTGGAACACTCTAACACAACCAGCCTAGGGAGTATGACAAATATTATACCATATAAATTTAGAACAAATGGTACTAAAATGCACAAATACTGTTAGTAGAAAATGACTGTAGAGTCAAATTATGTTTCTCAAAGTCAATGATGCTATTCAAGAACACAATGTTTATTATGACTAGTGAGAATGGGCAATAAGCAATTGCAAAATGTTGAACACTTCTTCAATGCTCAGTTTATCCTTTATTCCTTTTTTTTTCTATGTGTTGACCAATCGCTAATCTTTGGAAATTCCCACATACTTTTGGCTGCACCACCCAGCATTCTGATTGGTGAATAACCAACTTGACCTATCAGGTCAAAAGACACAGTTTAGGTCAACTAGGGAATAACACAAACATGGTGGATATCAATTTCCATCAAATGCACAACCAAAAACATTTGCTAACTTTTTATAACAAACAAAAACAATGAATTGATATTTTGTATGTTACATGTATTACCGGTACAACATACGAAACAGTTTAACCGGATTGTACTACTGTTGATGGTTTTGCTACTAAGCAATGCGTTCCTGTTTGTTTTGTCTTCATTTGAAAAAAGCCATTCAATCTCAACTGACACCTTATTAAGAGTGATGCCTGAATAAAAATACTTATACTAAGGGATTGTTTCTCTTGATGTAGTGTGCTATACTTTTATATTAGTTTTCATCAGTACGGTTATTTAATTCATAGTGGGGAGACTGCATCATTGTGTGTTGTGTGATGATTATAAAATGTGATCACTTTGCAAATAGGGTTGCAAAGGGGTGTTAGGGCCAGTACATAGACGCTGTTATTTATACGGAAAAAACCCGAACACTCCAGCCCACTAATGAAATTCAATACATGTACATTCCTCCAAATAACTATACGTGTTCCGGAAGAGGGACATGTATAATTGAAATGGGGAGAGGTAGAGGAAAAGCAGGTTTGGGATTGAAGTTACATGTAGGCCCTAAGAAAGTATTACCCATGTACATGTAGTATACCCTGTGTACATGGCTGTTTTAGGGGTTATATTTACATTCAGATTAGTCCGACATGAAGGTGCCAATGAAAATGATTTAAAGTTGATTCGTCCCAATACACTTTTTTCCCATTGCCTTTGGTTAGCCTTAAGAACTTGTGCAGTGTACCGGTACCGGGGTAATATACTTTATACTGTAAAACACTTTATTTTCGCTTGGAATTAATTAATTTTCGCTGAAGGAGTGATTCAGTGAAAATAAAATCCAGCGAACATACATTTTTTCCTATATTCTACATTAAACTTCAGTGAAAATAAATTCCATACAAAATACCCAAAAAGTCTTTTCACCAAAAATTAATTCCAGTGAAAATAAATTATTTCACAGTACATTGGTAATAAGACAATCACGCTTGATGCACATAAAATGAAATCGAAAACATGTTATCACAACAATATTTACTGTTTTTCCTGATATTTAGAAATAAACGACTTACCATTTTTTAAAACATTAATTAATTACACTATAATCTTGAAGTACATGTATGAATAACTTGATTTGATAATTGATAGAAACAAAGTAATGCAAAGTGTGATACAATAAACGACTGGGGTTCAGTCTTTGGGGTGCCATCCTATGCATGATGACTGCGTGACCACAACAT